GACATACGCTTTGGCTTTATGTACTAGATATGAAAATTGGTGTACATCTCCTGTCATATGCTTTGAACATCCACTATCAAGATACCAAACATTTGATGTGTATTTCAAGCATACCTACACAAACAAATTATTCTTTGTTAGGTACCCAAGTTGCCTTGGGTCCTTCATAGTTAGTTCCCTTTTTCACCCACACATAATGCCCACTTGTTATACTAAAGTTTCTAACATAGCAAGCATTAGGTGTATGGCCTTTAATACCACAATAAAAACAAGTAGGTTCAAAGTTACTTCTATATCTAGAAGGATAAGATTTCTTCTTAGGAAATGTTTTCTTTTTTGATACATTAGCCTTTTTCTTTTGATGATAATGAACAACTTGCTTCTTTTCTACTTTCTTGGGATTGGAACTATTACTAGCCTTTACAAAAATAGTGGGATTGTTACTTGGTTTCTTAGAATTGACATAACCAAGACCCCTTTTATCATTTGGATAACGTTGTTGGCTTAATAATCCTTCCAATCCTATTTGTCCTTTTTCATATCGTTCAATGACTCTTTTCAATTGAACAATTTGAAAGACATATGATTCACACTTGGAGCATGCAAAGTTTTCTTTTTCTTTAATAAAATTCTGTTTTTGAAGATCAAAATCTTTAGTCATGGTGTCAATTTTTTCTAAACAAATTAGAAGTTCTTTTTCTTGATTTGACACCTTTTTGTATAAACTTTTGAATTCTTTCAAGAGTTCATCAATAGCATCTTGAACATCATCATCAAAAAGATTAAATTCATTACTAACCTCTTCTTCATCGTCGGAGTGACGTGAAGCCATTAATGCTAGATTTGCACATTCGTCGCTTTCCGAATCGGATGAAGAACTTATCTCATTATCTTCCCATGCAACATAAGCCTTTTTGTTCTTGAACTCCTTTTTGCCTTTGAATCCATTTTTCTTGGAGAGTTTTGGACAATCCGGCTTTATGTGACCTTGCTTTCCACATTCATAACATGTGACATCTTGTGTTGATGTGGAGGCTTCTTTATCTTTATGATTATAAAATTTCTTCCTTTTGACAAAGTTAGCATTATGAAGATTATTTTTATGACCAAAATATTTTCCTAACCTTTTTACAAGAAGCAAGAAGTTTTCATCTTCCTCCGATGCATCTTTATCTTGACTTTCTTTTGAATCAACTTTCAAAGCAATGCCTTTGGATTTCTTCTCTAAATTTTCATATTTTTCAAGTCTACCGAGTTCCGTTTCGTATTCTTGAAGTTTGCCAAATAATGTAGCGGAAGTCATTGCGGAGAGACTCTTCTTTTCCGAGATTGCCGTTACCTTTGGTTGTCATTCCCTAGTCAATGATCTAAGGATTTTCAAGTTGAGTTCATCATTTGTCAAGGTTTTACCAAGAGCATTTAAGTGATTTGTCAAATGCACAAATCTCTTTTGTAAGTCAAGAATGGATTCTCCGGGATGCATTCGAAATAGTTCATATTCTTGACTCAAGGTATTTAGCCTTGATCTTTTTACTTCAGCCGTTCCTTCATGAGTTTGAACCAGGATATCCCATATTTCTTTTGCTGTTTTTCAGTTCGAGACACGGAAAAATTCGTCCATACTGAGTGCACCTTGAAGAAGGTTTATTGCCTTTTTGTCATAGAGAACTTTCTTTTTATCATCGTCGTCCCATGCAGTTTTGGGCTTTGCAGAACCAATGCCATTGATTACTGATATTGGGATAAATGGACCATTTTCAACAGCATCCCATACTTTCTCTCCTTGCGCTTCTAAATGCGCCTTCATGCGTATTTTCCAGAAGTCAAAATATTCACCACAGAATAGAGGAGGCTTGTTGTTACTACCACCATCTCTGAAAACTGGTTGATGATTTGCGGAAGCCATTCTGGATCTTTAGGAACAAGTTACCTATAACTTGCTCTGATGCCAATTGTAAGTCTCAGAGTGCCTAAGAGGGGGGGGGGGGTGAATTAGGTCTTATAAAAATTTATTCGATTTTATGAGAATGCTTGGTAGTAATTTTTGGTTAAGTTTTTGAAGATTTTGATTATATCTTTATCTTTTCCTGATTATGGTGATGAAAGCGATAAATGCGAAAAAGTAAAGAACACGGTGATATATCCTGGTTCCCCTCACAATCCGAGAGTACTCCAGTCCCCTTTCCAACACGAAAGAGATTTCACTATAGTTAGAATGATTGTACAGCCTATGCTTACTATCTAACCTATAGGGTGATCAAAGGTTCTTAACACCTTTAAGACCAAACAAACACTAATGTGAATGAAGAACAATCCTCTTTAAATCACAACACTTACTTCCAACAATCCTGGATAGTAAGGGAATAATTTCTTTAAGTAATACAATGATTTATTTGAAGTATATGGAGAGCTTTATCAATCTTCAATTGATCTTCTTCTTCAAGATATAAACAATTTTCAAACAATGTATATAAATGTTCACAATGTATGTATGAAACTTGTAATGATAATGAAAGTGTATATGACAAGTTTCACAAAATTATGAACACATGAAAATATGAATTCAAATGTGAATGATGAAAAATTGTTTATTGAAGAAGTATAATTGTTAATTTGAAAATTGAAGCATTGTTTTTTTAATTTTTAAATAAGAAAATCTGCAGCATTTTATAAAGTCATAAGAACCTCTTCATTCATGCCAATTCATATGAAAAGTTGCAATGCATTCATGAAAAGATACCACTTGAAAAATGTTTAAAAAACAAAAGAAAAGCTGCACTGGTTCGCTAGGAACCGGTTCCGACACTGACAGAACCCGGTTCTTAGTGAACGTTATAAGTCAGATTTCAAAAATATCACGCAGGAACCGGTTCCCCTATTGGTACAACCCGGTTCCTGGTACAAATTCCAGGGACATGCTTTTGAATAAGGTTTGGAACCTGGTTCCCTGTTAGGGAGGAACCGGTTCCTGAAAGTTAATTTTCAAAAAAAAATTTTGAAAAAGATTTTAAACAAAGTTTTTCTTAAGTGAAAACATGTTGGATATGTATATGATTATGAATGCATATTTTTTGTGAACATCTATATTCAAGATTAAGAATTATTTATACCATTTGACATTTGATGATTCTTCAATAATTCTTCAATAATCTTATATGATGTTGATAAGCTTTTTGCACATCCTTTGAATGTTGATGTTCATGTTGTCTTCATCAAAACACATGCTTTAAATATGACTTGAGAAGCTTGCAATTACATCATTTATTCTAATTGCATGGTAAAGGAGACCACATTAACTTCCATTGCCTTTTTCTTCTTCTTGTTTTTCCCCTTCTAGTCATGCTACATGGATTTATGTATCTTTTGTGCTCTTAGGTACAAATTATTAATGATTTGTCGTGGACAATGTGATACTTCAATTTTGAGGTGGATTCAAGAAGCCATCATGTCCAACATTATCGGAAAAGATTTTCCTAAAATGAAGTTATAGATGCTTCTGCATGAAAATGTTTAGTGTTACAAGTCGATAACCGTTGTATCTCTCGCTTCTCCCAATGTGACCATCAAATTAATATACTCCCCGAGGAGTTGTCGTGTCATTAAAGACACGTAGGTTAGATACGAGTTGCAACTTCTCTCTTTTTATGGTCTAAACTTCTCAAAAAGATCCATATACATGATCATGCAGGAGCTTCCCCATCAATAAAAATTATGAAATACATCAAAATTGACAATTGTGAAGGAAAAAATCTCATTTAAGATTTTGTTCACCTTTTCCCTATCTCAAAACCCAAAAATATATTTATTTTTTTTTCGTCCTTCCCCTTGTTGATCGCCATAAAAAAACTGTTAAGAGTAAGTAGTATTTAATTTTTAGCTCCTACTTCAATTGCTTTAATCTTGATGAAAAAAATGTCCACAAAATCCTTGATGAATATAAGTTCACACTGGTGATCCAATTTCTATATTTCCCACATAAAGGAAAAACAAAGTCTTGATGTAAAGACATGAAAAGAAAGTAGATGACAAGTGACTTCACATGAAAACAGTGAATCAAGACTAAACTGATCCATTTCCCCGCTCCTTTGTTTGTCATGAAACAAGAAATTATTCGACAACGTCTCATTCACGAGAATATGACCATTTCCAACTCTCTTTGTTTCATTCCAACATTTTTTTTTCCCATCTCTTTGTCTTTTATCTCTCTCAAAATCCGAGCTTGATTCCTTTTTCCCTTTTTTATCCACACTTTTGTCAATTTCCACTGGATTTTCTTCACCCTTTCAAACTATTCATGATGTTGATATCACCATAAAATATTCTTTACATTCTACCTCTTTCTTTTATTACCTAATTTATCACCACTAGGCTAAAATATTTCCCCTAATAATAGTACAATTGTTTTGATTCAAAAGCAAGCAACAATTATTGAATTTTAAAAAACTATGTAACAAGAGAATCTCTCTTTATTTCTGTGGGCCATTATATAATTGCATGCAATCAGACACCAACTAATACTATTTCATATTTTATTTTAAGTTTTCTCCATCATCCATAACTATCAAATTTTCAACATCTCATGTCACATTATAATCAATCAAATGAAAAAAAAAATTAAAAAAATAAAACCCTTAAATTTTTTTATATAAAATCCTTCAACTCTGTAAAGACAACTCAGTTGATAGTGTGAAATTTAATCAATAAACTACTTGACAAAAAATATATATATATATATATATTTCAACCTCGACTTGAAAAATTATGCTTGATATATATATATATCCTATTTTATACATCAAGTTCACTAAAACAAAGATTAAAATCTTTGCAACTCATTAAATCGACAGTAAATTTGATAGAATTACAATGATACCGTGATTTTATTGCAATTTTAGAGCGTAGTTTTTGTCAAAATCACTACGACATAAAGTCGATGTTTATCCGAACATGCGGGAGTATGATAATCAAGAAATTTTCAATCTTAAAACTCTTTTATTTGATCAATTGAAGTGTTGTTGCTCCAACCATGGCCATAATCCGGATTGCTCATCGATGGCCGAAAACATGTTACTCAAACTCTCTTCTTTAACCATGTGATCAATCTTTTGGCAATGATTAATGTCTTGTCTTGTTGAATTGGTTTGAAAGAGTTGATGAGGAACTAGTGTTGGTCTAGAAGAAGATGGAAAGAGGTTTATGCTTGTTTGTTGTTGAGTGGATAGAGGACTATCAATAGCTCCTTGTGTCCTAGTTGAAATATCCAACTTGATTTCTGAACTGTTTTCACTTCTGTTGCTGCTTGATCCTTCTGTTTCTTTGTTTAGGTTGATTGATTCTGTTGGTTCTCTATTTTTCAGTGCCAATATCTGAAAAACATTGGAAAATGGTTAAATTAGTATGTTATAAGGTAAAAAAGTTTTTTTTTTCTGCTTGGACTATAAAGTTAAAGATGATGAATCACATGATTTTATTTTTTTGTACAAACTGAGGAAACCATGCAAGAGAAACATGTCATTGATGGACTGTGTCTGTGTAATGATAGAGGAAAAAAACAGCTTTTTGAAAAAGTTGCTATTAGTTGGTAAAATTGATGAAAAGAAAAATAAAGGTGATCTGAAAAATTGAAATTTCTTTTACATTAGAAAAAAAAATTAATAATAGTCCAATTAATTTACTGTTGCGGAAAGACTTTTGCGACACTATCAATTACGATAGTTGAAATGTGAATTAACGACAAATTAAAACACAAAATTAACATCCCTTTAATCTTATCTTTTAATTATGATATTAATTGAAATCAAAACACAAAATTAATTATATATACATGATTTTTATAAATATTTATCTCTTTTTGTGCCATACCAACATACTTAAAAAAATTTACATAGAAGAAAACAAATCCTTTAAATGAGCATGAATAGGATCATGATTGAGCCCTTATCGCTTCAATTCGTTAAACAGATATTAAGTAATTAATTAAGAAGAAAATTTAGAAAACAAACCTCGGTCTGAAGTTTTTGGTTCTGAGCTTGAAGTGCATCATTATCAGCCTTAACAGAATCATACTGTCTTTTAAGAACATCAAAGTCTTTCTCCAACTGTTTTGTCTTCCACCTAGCTCTTCTGTTTTGAAACCATATAGCAATTTGTCTTGGTTGAAGTCCAAGAGCCCTTGCAAGCTGCATTTTCCTCTCAGGTTCAAGCTTGTTTCCTAACTCAAAGCTTTTCTCAAGTGTCTTCACTTGTTCCATGTTAAGCCTTCTCTTCTTCTCTCCTAACTGCGATCCATCGTCCGATAATTCTTCCTCGACATTCGGTTCTTCTCCGAGTTCTATACCGGAAAATGACATAGATCTCTTTCCTAAAAAGGATACTCCTCCTCCTACAACAACATTTAAAACATGTTATATATTAACTTAATAGTAATACCTTATATAAAGGTCCACGACCGCGATCTCGACCATGACATAATAGTTTCTAATGTTGCATACAATACAACTGATCGACTCTGATGCGACCGCGACCGTTAATTAAAACCTGATTACACTAGTATGATTTTATGTGAGTGTTATAGAGAAAGAAAGTACCATGATAATCTTGAGGTGCACATGAGGTTATAATTGAGTTGAGTGAAGGTGGAGGTTGATGATGGTCATCTTGATGAGAAGTTTGAAGCATGAAATTTGATGGAAAGAAAGCCATATCATTGCAAGCCAAAAATTCTATTAATCTTTCTTCAATAGCTATATCACAAAAGAAGTTTGCTCATTACTATTGTTTCTCTCTCTCTCTCTCTATGACATAGATTGAAGGTTAATGCAAAACATGTTCTTGAAAATTGAAGAAGATGCACAAATTAATCTTGAAAATATTGTTCTATTAAAAAGTGAATATTATTTGAGAGGAGAGGGTAGAGTGAGGGAAAGGAGAAGAGATGTTTGAAACTATATGTTTCTATACATCAACTTCTAATATATATCACTCTTTTATTTTTCTTATTTTATGTAAAGTTGCTAATGTTGAATTAAAGAAAGAGATAGATAGAGAGAAAGAAAAAAGAAACTCTAATTTGTTTTATCTTCTATATACATGAAAAAGAAAAACAGCTAGGTAAGCTTTATTTTTAGAATGAATATACATGTTGCTTATTAGATGTCAAAATGGCATTTAGCAATTGGAAAAAGAAATAAAGAAAAAATAATAATTTTTTTATTATTTAAAAAAATAATTAAAAAATTATAGCTTCTCTGTATCAATCTGTCTAATATTCCATTGAAGTGAGTGCATGTGTAAGTTGCAATTATTTTCCTAATGATAAATAAGTTTCTCACTTAGGAGACAAAGATGTGGGGTTTTACTTTACTAATAAAGTTGTCTTTAATTATAGTTATAGAAACTAAATTGCATGTCCTTGATTCCTTTATTAATGGCCAGGAAATAGAGATTCATATAATAAAGTTATTTAATTTGATCTATAGTGAGTGTATTTTGGATTTTTTTTTTTTAAAATAGAACTTTTACTATTTTTTTTCTTTCATAACTAAATATTATAAACAAATGGCAGTAGATGAGGCAGGTGTTCTTACTGTTGGGAAAAGAAAGTTATTACATGGTTTGGTGACAAAACCCTATCTCTATCACTTGAGATTTTCTTATGTCTATTTTTATTTTTTTTTTAAAGGAAGAAAAGTCATGTTAACATGTGCTATATGAATAGTTTAACGAATTTATAATTATAAAGTTTGCCTTAAAAATATAAATTCAATATTTGTCAAAGTAATAATTATATCATTTTTAGAAATAAAAAAATATAAAAGTTGTCTTTTTTTAATTCTTTAAACAATATCTTAAAAGTGTTTTTAATATTTTTCATAGAATGATTTTTTAGGCAATGGAATGTATATAATTAATAGAGTGCAAGGGGGTATTTAGCCGATTATAGAAATTTGAAATTTCTACACGCTTTAGATTTCAATCTTATTACATGTCAAAACTAAAAAAAAGTTTGATATTCTCGACAACACCTAAATTAAACTCTCCATTATTAAAAATGACAACATTTCTTGTATTCCACAAAGTTCATCATGTAAATGACCAAAAAATCAACTTCTTCTTCGAAGATAATTTGCCGCGAAGAGACTCCTTACAACAAATGATCAAAAACCGATTGCTCCCTCCTTTGGGGTAAACTTAGCCATACATACATCATATTCGAAACTAACTTTGAGAAGGAATAAGTCAAAAGTAAATGATCACTCTTATACAGAGGAATAGAAAACATAAAAGTTTGTCGTTGTTGCAACTGGTTTTAAATACAGAGTCGTCACTAATAGTTTTTATCCTAAAGAAAGAGAATCTAATAGGAAATCCTAATTTGCAAACAGAGATTCTAGGTTTCAGATTTCTTTAGACAAAAGAAAGGTGTTAGGCACTTTTCATCTACCTTATTCGTAAGGATACTAGATTTAGGTTTAACAGTTAGGTAAAAAAAGATTTAGTTTTTTTATTAGGGGAACTCGCCACGATTTTAATCGTATATCTACGTATCCTCTTATGAGGAATCAGAGCCTCAATTCGTAGTTCGTAGTTGGTTGATATTTTTTATAGGATTGCGTAGAATTGTTTTCGAATTATCCTTTAACTTTGTCTGGGTTGCAAATTGAGTGATTGTAGATGCAGTTCGCAGTTAAACTTGAAATTAATTCTCCTTAACCCTTTTTCGAAAATATCTTGTAGTTTTTATTAGGATAGTGGAAAAATGATTTATTGTTGGTTAATTGTTTTGATGTTTTGATTTGATTAAAGAGTGTGATGAGACATTGAGCGGGAGAGTTTGATATAGTCTCCTCCTCACGTGATCAGATATTGACCACGTGTTACTCGTCATGAAGGATACGGAGAAATACCGATATAGCCTTCCTCACCACGTGGCCAGATATTGGTCATGTCTCGCACATTGGTGAATTGCGTGATTTTTTAATTGTTTGATTTAGTATAATAAACCGGTAAATAATGTGTCGACCGATTTAAATACTCGGAGATGGACATCCTATTGTTCGCGAAAATGTTAAATTAATTTGATTTGAAAAAAAGTGTTGGAACATAGGTATGAAATATGGTGAAACATGGATTGAATTTAATTTACAAAAGAAAATGCTTACACTAATTTTAATCGGATAATTTAAAATAATGCACAAACTAATAGTCTTACCTAATTAATTCTTTTTTACCTAATAAACCTAAATATTTTTAACTAATTAAATAAATTGACTATTTTTATTTTACGTATAATGATTAAATTTAGAAAGAAAAAACTAAGTTTCTAACTTAAAGATATTAGATGTATTATATGAGTAAGATGCCATGTTAAGGGTGTTTCTAAAAGATAGATGGATTTGGTGTCTAATGGCAGGAAAACCAAGAATGAGAATCAATTATATTTTATTAATTCTAAATAATCCTTTTTAAAAGGAAGTTAGAATAGATTATTAATATAAAATTATAAATAAAATAAAAACTACAAACCTGTATAGTATACCATAATGAGAATTAATAATATAATAACAAAACAAACCGAATAAACTAAATAATAATAACATAAGTAATATAATTAGAAAGAAAAAACAGAAGAGTTAAATGATTAAAAAAAATGAGAGAGAGTCACCCCTTTAAAAAAATTATAGGGTTTGTGAGTATTTGTCAATAATTATTGATAAAAAACGTAGAAGAAAAAAAATGGGAAGGGGCTTCATGTTAAATTAATTTAGACACGTGTTTGTCTAATGATTAACTTGTTAATAATCGGCCAAAAAATAATAACACCAAAAGTTTTTTGAAGCGGAAAATTAAAAATAAAGTACAAAAAAAAATGAAGTGTATGTGAAAAAAAGTGAGTGAAAAATTATAGATATGTGGATTGTTGATAGACGAAGTGTTAGGGAAGAATGTAAAAATTGTGGTTGGAATTCTTGATGAAATAAGAGTGTGAAAGAGTGACATATTTATAATGATAATTACGTCAATAAATTAGGAAATAAAATTGATTGGCCAATCAAAATTTTCTTGGTCAGCAAGCTAACCAATTAGAGATTGAGTATCATATAAAATGACATCATTTGACCAATAAGAATCAATTAATTAAAAAATGCAATATTTTTTATATTTATTATAATTATTGAAATCAATTTTGGTAAAAAGTACATAAAATCAAATGAATAATTAATTTTAAAAATGTCCTAATTATAAAAACAAAAATAATATTTAATTAACAAAAAAATGACCTTTTATGGTTAAAAATATAAATAGTTAGTAACAATAAACAAGGAAATAGAAAAAATGTTAAAAGTGCACCATGAGAAATTCGAATCCGTGATCTTATATTTGTAAGCTTCATTCCTTATCAACTGTGCTATGTTACTTATTTGAAATAAAAAGCAAATTGAAAGTATGTGAAGACGAGCAAATATTTATTTATTCAAAAATACAAATGATCGGATATATATCATTATATTTTTATATAGGTTTGGAAGAGAATATTTATTAAAAACTCTATAATGTTAATATAATCAAACCAAAGGAATTTTATACTCTATAAAACCCAAGTTTGAAAATAAATTTGGTGGTAGCACTAAGGCAGGCAAATTTGGGGTATGACAGCTGCCCCTATTTAATAACTCTTCGATTGAATGGCGCGAGAATGCGTAGGTTTTTGTTCATTCGAATCGGAGATTTATTAAATAATAGAAGATCCCAAAATTTGACCAATGGTTGGCTAGATATGGTTGTGCTGATATAGCATACCCCCAAGAGTTGGCTAGATGAGGTTACGCTGATATAGCATACCCCGAAGAGTTTTTAAGAGAATAGGAAAAGATGATAATGTATCACTTTACCAGGGCTTGAACCAAAGTTTTAGGCAAAGACGATGATGTATCGTCCTACCAGAGTTTGAATAGAGAGATATGATTGAAGAGTAAGATTGATCTAGACAAGACGATGCAAATAATTTGTTAATGCCTAAAAAAGAGATTGTTGTAGAATTTACCATAACCTAGTAGGTAAATAATTCACATTTGAAAAAGCTGACTTACTAATGCTTGGAGACTAACATAGTAAGTTTTGATTTGATTCGAATTTTTCTATTCTTCACAACCTAGGGGATGAGTAAAACAAAGTTTGATAACATATTGCTTCCTGGAGATTGATGCAATGGATTACGCAGATTTATTTTGCATATCTATCACAACCTGGGGGATAGATAATTGAAAAAGCTTGACAACTACATCGATGCATGGAGACTGAGGCGATGAGTTATACTGCAGATTTCGCACATTAATGCATGGAGTCTTAGATAATGAGCATGACATAAAATGACACAATTTGACCAATATTTACCAATTAATTAGAAAAGGCAATATTTTTTTATATTTTTATAATTATTGCAATCAATTTTGGTAAAAAGCACATAAAATCAAATAAACAATTATTTTTAAGAATGCCTTAATTATAAAAATGAAAATAATATTTAATTAATAAAAAATGACCTTTTATGGTTAAAAATATAAATAGTTAGTAACAATAAACAATGCAATAGAAAAAATGTTAAAAGTGTACCTTGAGAGATTCAAACCCGCGACCTTATATTTGCAAGCTTCATTCTTTACCAACGGTGCTATGTTACTTATTCGAAATAAAAAATCAAT